CCCCCCTAGTCATCACCCCCCTCTTTTCCGCTCCCGATGATCACCCTGCAGCACCCCCAGACCCCCGACGTCATGATTTTTTCATGACGTCGACCCCCAGAGGTTTGGACCCATTCCCCAGGACCGGTTTTTCATCCTGAGTCGTTTTTTGACGGTCCCGAGGCCCGGTAGGGGCCCCCCAAAGCCGCAAATATGGAAAAACCTCCCGTCGTGATTTTTTCATGACTCGAGGGGGTCTGGGCCGCGGGCCTGGGCGGCTCCGGCCAGCGGCGGTCAGACGGCCGGGCAGCTCGAGCCAGAGCCCTCCCGGGACGAGGCCCCGGAGGGGGCCCGCACGCCCGCGGCTCGCCGCGGGGCCTCGCCGCGCCCAGCGCCGCGGCCCCGGGGCCAGGGCCCGGGCCCCGGGGTGGGCGGGGGCCGCTCGGCGAGCGCCTCGAGGACGTCGATCTCGGTGGCCACCTGCTCCTCAAGGGGCCCAGGGACGCACGAGTAAAGACACACACAAACAGAAGGGCTCCCCATGCTTCTCCATATCTTTTGAAGGTTTCGTCTTCCCCCCACACTTCCCATATTTTCCCATATGTTCCCATGTTTTCTGGGAATCGACGATTCATTGTGTCTGTGTTTTTTTGTTGTTCCTCCTGAGCTCCGTCTGATGCGTCAGCTTGCCGCCGCCGCGGCGGCAGCCTCCGGCGGCCTCGTCCTGGCCGGAGGGGAGCACCATGATCGCTATGACCCGCCCGCTGTCGTCTGCATGATACGTCGTCTTCGTGAGCGTGAACGACGCGTGGCAACTTGTGTGGTCCTTGCCGGCCAGCCGAAGGATCAGCGGGCTGAGCTTGAAGGAGCAGGAGGGCGTGGAGCCGTTGGCGAAGCGGTTAATGTTGTCGCAGAGGGTTTCGACCTGGGGGTTCGCCGGGTCCAGCCAATCGCTGAACAACGTGCTGGGCAGACACCGCCCGAAGCTCTGGACGAAGGCAGCAGAGCACGTCAGGATCTCGAACGTCAGCGCGTCGAAAACGACGGCCATCCCTGATAGGACCTCGTTGTCAGCGAACGGGGCTTGCAGCTTAGCGGGAGGAAGTCGACCTGATGCAACCGAGTCGCTATGCTCTCTGAGGCCCACAAGATGCTGGGGCTGCTGAGTGAAGGCGTCCATGGAACAGACATGGAAGAGCTGCATCTCCACCGAACTCCCCCACCTGCCGCGGAAAGTCACGTGGAACGCGTCGGCGATCGAGCCCGCATCGTGCGCGGGAATCTGCATGTGACTGTTGAAGCAGCGCAAGTCGGCATCCGAGTGCATGGTTTCGTCCAGCTTCGAGCCGCCGCCGAGACCCGCGTGCAGTATCGAGTCGAGTCTCGGTGATGGCTCCTTCAGCCGCAGATCGGCGTCCAGCTCCACAACGGCATCGCACACGGTGAGCGACAATGACCTGTACGCGTCCAGCCCGTTGCGGGAGGCCTCCGTCTCTACCGTCTGCCACGCCCACTCGCGCATGAAACCGACAATCGCGTGCCACATCAGAACCACAATGAAGGAGGAGGCCACCTCGGTGGCGAGCATCATCCGAGGGCGCCACAGCGAGCAGCCGAAGTCACTGGACTGGCTCATCCAGTGGGCGCCCAGGGTGCTCAAATCCGCCGCCGTGCCTCGTGCAGGTTGAGGCGTGGAGAATGCCAAGGGCTACCTGCGGTTTGTGTACTCTACTAACAGAGGGTCCCCCCCCTCTACTAGCACTCCTTGCATGCATCCCCCCTGTCCCGAAGCTCCCTGGGCCACGATCCCTCGGAGAAAAGACACGACTGACCCGCGTCCAGAGTGTCGAAGACGGCCCCGGCAGGCAACCCAGGCCGCTAAGATGGCCCAAGATGCCTCGAAGACTGCCACAGATGGCCCCAAGGCGGCCCAAGATACAGTCGAGGCGTTAACCTAAGGAACCCTGAATAAGGAACGAGGCCCCTTTTTCCCATCAGTTACAATTCGATGTCGTATCGAAAACCTAAGGAAAATCTAAGGCAAACTGCGAAACAATTAAGGAACACGGAGCCCCTCCCCAGCGAAAAGGGTTCCTTCTTCAGGGCCCCGACTGTAGCCTCAAGACGGCCCAAGGTGCCCCCGAAGAAGTCAAAATCATGTGTTGTGTCCCGTTGACGTGAAGAATACTCGCGCACTCGCCTTCTCGGGCTTCCGTCGGCTTAGGATGGCCCAGAAAGATCTCAAACAGGACTCAAGGGGCCCCCACGAGAGTCCCAAGATGGCCCAAGACCTCCAAGGTCAAGCTGGCTGCAGAGGTCATCTGGAGGGAACCAACACGGCCCCAGAGGACCCCTCGACGGCCCAAGGCGGCCCCAAGGCACCCGCCATACGGCCATCTGAGCCCAAGACGGCCCAAGAGGGGCCCAAGGGACCCCCAAGATTGCCCCGCAGGGGCCCAGGCCAGCCTCAAGACGGCCCAACTGAGGTCAATGAGAGCTCCTCGAGAAGTGAAGGCGAAACGTGTCACAAGTGACGGCTATCATCTGCTCCTCTTCCTCCTCTGCCTCGTCATCATCATCAGCATCATCATCATCACCGCCACCATCCTCATCCTCATAATCATCATCCTCATCCTCATCCTCATCAACATCCTAATCGTCGCCCTCATCCTCATCCCCATCCCCATCCCCATCATCAGCAGCAGCATCATCACCACAAGCGCCATCACCATCATACTTACAATTGTCACAACCACCATGCCCCTCCTTTTCCTCAACAACGTTGTCGGCGATCATCGTCGTCACCATCCTTATCACCATCATCGCCACATTCGTTATCATCGCCGCCATGCTCGCCCTCGATTGGTTCATCTTCCTCTACATCATCCTCCTTCTCCTCCTCATCATCACCACCACCATCACCATCATCACCATCATCAGCAGCATCATAATCACCGTCAGCATCACCAGCATGCTTATCTCACCAGCATGAGCATCCTCAGCATCAACAGCATCATCAGCATCAGCATCACCATCAACATAATCAGCGTCATGAGCATCATGGTCATCATCATCAACATCAGCAGCATACTCATCATCATCACCAGCACCATCGACATTATCATCAGCCTCCTCACCAGCATGGTCAAGATCATCAGCATCATCATCATCATCATCGACAGCAGCCTCCTCCCCCTCCTCCTCATCCTCATCCGAATCGCCACCATCATCAGCATGCATCAGCATCGACATCATCAGCATCTTCGTCAACATCATCATCAGCATCATCATCATCATCATCATCATCGACATCATCATCACCGTCAGCATCATCATCATCACATTCACCAGCACCAGTATCAGCATCATCATGAAAATTGTCAATATCGTCATCGTCATCGTCATCCTCATCAGCAGCATCAGCATCATAATCATAACCATCATCATCATCATCATCATCATCATCATCAGTGTCAGCATCGTCACCATCACCAGCATCATCATCACCATCATCATCGTCTTCATCATCATCATCAACAACAACATCAGCATCAGCCTCATCACCATCACCAACATCATCATCGTCGTCACCGTCGCGTTGTGCAGATCCATCGCCCGCTATAATCATCCGTCACCCTCGCATCTCCTCCTGCAGCTGCCACCGAGACCGCTGGAATGGCACGGCGGCGGGACCCACCGCAAGGCAGCCGGATAGACGGCGTTCCAGAACAGGAGCGCGGGCAGGTTCAGCATGCACAGGCCGATGCCGAGCCGGACGACGCCCGCGGTGGTGGACAAGAAGTACAGCCTGTCGCTCGGGGTGCCCCACGGCGAGGCGCCCACCGAGACCAGCAGCATGCCCCACGAGCCCCAGAGCTGGACGGTCGAGGGCGTGATCGAGCAGGGCTTGCGCAGCAGAAACAGCATGGTCAGATACAAGGCGACGAAGACGGCGTCGGCTGGGATGTACTGCTTTCGCTCGCGGTCCGAAACAAAATTCATCGCCATGAACACGAAATGTATAACGCATATCAGGGAAAAGGGATGGATAAAGACGCGGGCGTAGTCAGCCCGCCGAGACATGACGAGGTCTGCCACCTTCAGCGCGATCAGGTCCTCTCGTGTCTGTGTCTGCTTTGTCGAGTCCCTCGGCCTCACTGCGCATCGCAGCCGACGCAGGAGTGCATACAGCCCGCCGGCGAAGCGTGACAGTGTGCCACTGCTCACGAGAAGTGCCACATGAACCAGCAGGCAGAAGACCGAGGCGCAGAAGATGACACCATCGCGAACAGAGTGCATTGTGCGCACTGGGCCGCGCGCGGCTGGCACAAGCTGGGCGGCGGCGGGCCAGATGCACCCAAAATGCCTGCCGGCTCCGCGGCCAGAACTGCAGATTACGGAGAAAACCTCATGCGTTGAATGAACCGTCAACTATGATGTCATGACAAGATCGGTTCAGGATGCGTCCCAAGTTTTCCAGAGTACCGCGGCGCGACGGGTGCGCAACATCAGGAAACATGGGAACACCTGGAAGCCTTGGAATACCTGGAACGTATCGCTAAGTATCGTGACTTCTTGCTCCTCTGATCAACGTGACTTATTGTGAGTGTCGTTCTGGCCATGGCGCGCAAAGGAGGTGAGGCGAGATGGAGTTGAGACAGATAGACAATGGACAACATATTGTAGTGGGGGCTCATACTCAATTCGGACTTGTCTGCCGCTGGCGATGCACTGCGCGGGAGAAGAGGCTGCGATGTGGGCACGGACTGTCGCGCGATGCTTGCAATAATGTCATATCATGCTTCGCAGCAGCATGCGATTACATAAAAGGCGTGAGTCTGCTGCAAGCCTTATCTAGAATGACCAGCTGGGACATGCCGAAGGGCAGAAAAGCGCAACTCATGAACCACTTGCCCACCGGCCGTGCCCTGTCGCGAGGCAAAGACATGAGGTCACGATATGGCTTCCCGCACGTGCCATGCCATTCCGTATCGTCCTGTGCCGTACCGTGCATGCGGTGCCGTAGGTCAGACACAAGCAACTCGTGATTGAACTGCCCGCGTGTGTCGTGCCATACCAGTGACGACCCGTACCGCAGGCCAGAACCCCCCTGTCATCGCTGAAAACCGCCGCCTCGTGGAGCAATCCTGGAGCCATCACGCCGTCATGTTGTAATCATGGGGTCGGGTGCCAAACTTCAGTGGACGCGGAGGAGGCGGAACAAGATCAGGAAGAGAAGGAGCGGAGCAGGAGGAGGAGGAGGAGATTGATGATCACGATGCTGATACGAATAAGGAGGCGGAGGAGGTGAAAGGGGAAGGCAGCGGCGTTGCTGGCGTGCCTGGCTGACGTTGCTGGTGCTGGTGCTGGTGCTGGTGTCTCTGCTGGTGCTGCTCTGCTTGCTGTCGTTGTTGGTGCTGCCTGTGTGATGCTCGTACTGATGATGCTGGTGTTGCTGCTCTTGCCGCCTCAGACCTCCGACGACTCGATCGACGTGTTCGAGTCGCTGGCCCCTGGGGTTATCGGCCCATCCCCTGAGGCATGTGCTGTTTATCACCTGGGGCCGCCGTTCTGCTGCTGCTGCTGCTGATACTGCTGCTGAGTTCTTGTCCCATACCCCCCTTCCCTCCCTCCCTCCCTCCTCCTCTCCTCCCCTGCTCATCTCCCCCTCCCATCCTTCCCTTGCTGCTGTTCCCTCCTCCCCTCCCCTCCGTGGCACCGTTCCCCCATTCCTCTTCAGCTCAGGACGGGGCCCGAATATGCCAAAGCCGCAACTTTGCCTTGGATGTGTGCAGATGCTCGCTTCGGGTTTCCGTCTGCTTCAGGCGGCCCAGGACGCCTCGGTGATAGCCCCAAGACCCAAGAGGGCCCCAACATGGCCCACGAAGCATCCACGGCGACCCCACTGCGGCGCAAGAGGGGCCCCGGGCGGCCCAGGGCGGCCCCGAGAGAACCCCCCAGGCTGGCCCAAACAGACCTTCCAAGCATCCAAAAAGGGCCCTAAGGCAGCCCAAGAGAGCCCCAAGACAGCCCAAAGGTGGTCCAAGAGGGCCCCCAGGACTCCCAGGGGTGCCGCACAAGAGCCCACAGCAGCCCCAAGACGGCCCAAATGAGCCCCATGCACAGGAATGAAGACGAGAGGGCCCACGTGTGAGAGTATTCCTCGTCCCGATCCTCTTCCACCTTATTCGTACGCCTCTGTTGTCTTCGTCGTCGCCATCATCCTTCGAACAGCTGCTGCCCAGATGGCTGGGCAGCAGCTGTTCGGATGATGGTGACGACGGCGAACCACCCGTTCACTTTGCCACGTTCAGCTTTGGTCTCAGCAGCAAGCGGAGCTGGAGCACGACTCTGCTGCAGCGCCGGGCACTCGGTAAGGACACGCCTTGGAGTTACGCTGTTCCCATCGCACTCGAGGACCACATTCTAGAAATGATTTTGAGCACCCACGGAAGTATCGAAACGATTATTGATTATCGCCGCCCAGGACCCGACACGTGAAAACCCTCCAGTGTCGATTCTTTTCCTGGTGCTCGAAATCCTTTCTGGCGATCAAGGCTCAAGTAGGTAGGAACATCTCAACCCTGGAGCGAGATCCCAGCTAGTGATCGCAAAACGCTCCCTGCATCCAAGACCTGCTGGACATCAACAAGGCCATAGCCATGTTGCAGAGCAAGACCAGCGAGAAGTCACACGTTCCAAAGCTCGACGTGGAATCCCCGTGGTGCCTCATCGTGAGGTCGGCCTGGCAAGGCGATCCTGGTGGACTGGAGGAGCCACACGCTGCCGCGCGTGGCTCGGAGCACGTTCGCGGCCACGACTCGGAGCTGCACGGAGGCCTTGGCTTCAGCGGAGCTCGTGCGTGCCATCATTTTCGAGGTGCTGTATGCGGAGCTGGACGTGACCAACCGCGAGGTGCTGGCCAACACACGCATGCTGCCGACCACCTGTGTGACCGACTGCAAATCCACCTACGACAACTTGCACCGTGAGGCCGGCAGGCTGCCTCAGGAGAATCGTCCGATCGTGGATCTGGCTTGGCTACGGGAGGCGATGCAGTTGGAAACAGCAGTGGACCCACTTGAGAGTATGAACCTCACGGACGTGCCGATGAGATGGGTCCCCACCGCATACTAGTACATGTTGGCAGATGTTGTGACGAAGACGATGGATCTGTCTGCTCGATTTAGCAGATTGGTCGTAGGCTCGCTGCACATCCTTCGAAGACTGCCCGATCCTGGTGAGGACTAGGCGTGAAATGTTGCTCGCCCTGCACGCCTACACACTTCGATACTTTATATGAATGCCTGATGGCACTGCCCAGCCCGTGGGTTTGATCGAGTGCTCGTGCGAATTTCCAGCCCCAACTTGTGGGAACAAGAGATTCGGATCAATGTGCATACGCGTGCCCGGGTGACGTGCAGAGTAGTCCCGTGTGCATGCCTCGCCCGCCAGCCGCCGATGTTCCTTCCCACGACCAGGTGCACCTTTCAGCCTTGTTGGCGGCGGCTGGTCCCGCCGAAGAACGAATCGATCGCGAATCCTTCGCACGGTGGGCCTCGCAAGAGTCTACAGCAGCGGGTGGCAGCACCCCGACGGAGCCGCGAAGTCCAGCCTCGACGTGCGCATGTCACCACTCCGCTCGACCTTCTGGGCGCCTACGAGAATTGCGGCAGTCTCGCAAGTGTCGGCACCCCGAGGAGCCGCGAGGTCAAGTTCGGATCTGCGCATGTCACCGCTCCGCCAAGGCCGCCCATGAGCCGACGAGAGGGGCGACGATCTCGCAGGTGGCAGCCCCCCAGGGAGCCACGAGATCTCGAATGCGAGTGCATCTCTACTCCGCACCTTCCGGGAGCCCACGAGAACGGCGACGGTTGCGCAGAACCCCCCCCCCCCTCTCCCCGCTCCCCCTCTCCCAAGGAGCCGCGAAGTCCAGACTGGATGCTTTTATGTCACCAATCCGCTGGACCTCCCGGGAGCCCACAAAACTGGCGACAAAGGCGCAAGTGCCCTTACCCCCCCCCCCCTGCCCCCCCCCCCCCCCCGGCCAGGATCCGCGAGGTCTAGTCTGGATGCGCGTATGCCACTACTCCGCGCTGGACCTCCTAGGAGCACACGCCAGTTGCGACACTTGCGCGGGTGGCAACCTCGCGAGGTCTAGTCTGGAGGTGCGTACGCCACCACTCCGCTGGACGTCCCATGAGCCAGCGGAAGTGGCGACAACTGCGCACGTGGCAGCTCCCCCAAGGAGCGTTGAGGTCTAATCTGGATGTGCCTATGTCCCCACTCCGCTGGACCTCCCATAACCCCGCGACTGTGACGACTGTTGCGCAGGTGGCAGCCCCGTCAAGGGAGCCCGCAGAAGTGGCGACAATTGCGCAGGTAGCAGCCCCCCAAGAAACCGTGGCAGCCCCCCAAGAAGCCACGAGGTTTAGTCTGGATGTGCTTATCGCACCACTCCGGTGGGCCTGCCATGAACTCGCGGAAATGGTGATAGTTGCGGAAGTTCAGCCCCTCAAGGAGTCACGAGGTCTAGTCTGAATGCGCGTGTGTCACCTCCCAGGAGCCCACGAAAGGGGCGATAAGTGGGCAGCTGTCACCACCTGGCGAGACCTATTCTGCATCGGCCTCCGCTGGGCCTGCCAATATCTCACGAAGAACATGGCAACAGTTGCGCAGTTGGCAGCCTGGCGAGGCAAGTCGACGCAGGAGGCGGGGAGACGAGAGGAGGGGAGAGGAGAGAGAGCATCGCGCGAGCAATGCTCTATTCAACACACACACACACACACTTTTTGCGTCGGCGGCTGGGCAGAGGGCGACTGCCCCGGCGGATGGGCAACAGGGGACACGCTGTATGCGAATTAAGGCCGCGATGCACGGAGGAGAAGGAGGAGCCCGGGCGCCCCCCCCCACACACACACACACACACACACACACACACACACACACACACACACACACACACACACACACACACACACACACACACACACACACACACACACACACACACACACACACACGCACACATCGACCGCGCCCCCCTCGCCCCCCCGAAATGGGTTCACGACAACCCTTGATCTCGTCCAGTTCACCGACGGTGCTCGGATCGGAGAGGAGCCCGCGGGACGAGGGGCAGGGAGGACGCGGCAGACGGCACATACTCGCACTCGACGGCTCCTTCCCACCATCCTCGACACAGAAGGCGAGCGCGATCAGCTGCGGTGAGGAACGCTTGTTCCGCGCGTCGCGGAGGCGGCCCTGGCGAGACGCCGTGCCCTGCAGAGAGGCTGGCGCGCCGCTCCGCTCCGCGGAGCGGGGGGCTGAGGCGGACGCTCGGGGACGTCGACGCTCGGGGACCGGGAGGTGGTTGGCGTGCCGCTCCGAAGCGTGGTTGGCCAGAGCCGAGGACAGGTCCTGACCTGACCAAGAGTTGTCGGATCCATGGCGGTGCAAGGCACGATTATGCCCACACGCCTCCGACTCCACCCCTCCGTCCTGTCGCCGAGAAGCGCAAAACACGCAGTTCAACGAAACGTCCTTTCGAACACATATAGTGCACTCGCACTGCCGATTCTGCAACCTCGGGTATAACGCCAACGTTGACCGCCGACCGCTCTTTGGGGGGTCTGCGTGCACTGCCGCCGCATTCTGCCAGGCTCCCGCTGGCGCAGCCACACATGCTTGGCTGCCGCTGGCGTTCACTGGCCTTCCGCCAGAGAGACGTCCACCCTTCTCTGCGCCAAATGTCTATGTTTATGCGGTTGTTTCTTCCTCGACTCTCTGAGATCCTGGCGCGGCGCGTCTTCAGAGCGGGCGCTTCGGCTCAGGTCTGGGCCCTGGGAGCCTCACTAATGACGACCCGCCTCGACAGAAAAGGCCGTGCAGAGGGATGGGGGTCGAGGGTTCCAGCTGTGGCTCACACGATGCTAGGAGGAGGAGGAGGAGGAGGAGGAGGAGGAGGAGGAGGAGGAGGAGGAGGAGGAGGAGGAGGAGGGGGAGGAGGATGAGGAGGAGGAAG